GTAGAATCAGCTGCAGCAACATTAACAGTTACCTTGTTTAATTCTGCTTATACATATATTGCATTAATTTTTCTGCTACCTTAAGATTTCTCTATTCTTACACCTAATTTATGTGATTTTCTTAGCATAATATGATTGGATAAATGGAAGGATGGAATAGGATATGCAAAATTAAGATATTTTAACATTTATTTTTCAGACAAAGCATAATATAGTATTAAGATTAAGACATACCAAATATTATAAGAAAGATCTTAATATAAATCACAAACTAAGTCTTAATTTGGTCTTGTATAAACACAGGTATAAAACTAATAAGATCAAAAATCAACCTTCACCATATTGTCAAGATTTGGCATTATAGGAAACAAAAAATTACACTAAATTAAGAAAAGAATATCAAAGTAGACGATATTAAATACTGTAATGTATTCTACGACACAAACCATCTCAGAGAAAAAGATAAAACATAAAGCTTATTTTAGTCTTATCAACACACTTTTCGATAAAATATATGTCTAAAATTGCTATTAATCCACTAACTTGATATTTTTAAGAAATTATGACACAGACATTATAATCAAAGTATATTATATTAGTAACATTATAGGTAAAATGTTACCTCTATCTCCCATTGACGTGTATTGTTCTATAAGACTCGTCATGGTAGTACCGTGGTAGTACTTCAATACATCAATACATATAATCAAAACTATTGTTACCTGTAAATAACTAGAAATTAAATAACTTGAAAGAAATAAAATAATTCTAATAAGTTTAAAACCATTACGAAAAAATCCGTAAATGATAATCTTTAATTCTAATGTAAATATATAAATAAATGTTATTATTATTACAATTTTATATATTCATAATACTTTCATTTCACAATCTTCATTATCCTTCTTACCTTAATTTTCACACAATAGATCTTTAAGGTCGCGGTGACTAACTCCCCTCCTAAACATTCTAAAACATTCTACCTTAATTTTGGATATGAAGATAAATTTGAAATTATATAATTAATTATAGAATTTGTATTATTATTGATTAACACTCAAAAAAAAATTTCAACTAGAAATAATTCCAAAATAAACTGCAATTTGGCAACATCGACGATGTGCGCTTGCGTAGTATCGATGATCAAATGCAGCAAATATGGGCTTCAAGGTCAGCCACCGGATCCACACCTTTACCTAAAATACAACTAACAAAGTTTGGTCGCGAACTTATTCGAAGCGCGGCGAGAAAACGTGAATTGGATCAATGGTATCCATGGTACAAAGAATACAAGGTATGATCGATAGCGGCTCCAATTTCGTTCAGTTCGCGCATACCACCTGTGACGTCACTAGGAAAATAATGAATAAATAAAAAATAAAGAAAGTTGACAGGAGATCTGCATTTTTTGGGGTTATGGTTAAGAATTGTTTATTTTTAAGACATTTTAGTTCGTTTAATTTAATAATTACTAAAACCAGCAGTTCCAAAAATATATTTAAAAATAATAATTATCTATTAACATGGATTTGAACGATAGGTAAGAATACTAAATTTATTTCTATATTCGGTATAAAATTGTTTATTAGGTTTTTAGTTTGCGATGTTTATGGTAAATAATTTTTATGTTCATTGCCTCTGAATTCACATGAGGACAGAGATGAGGATATCTATGGAAAAGTAACCACAAGAGGAATTGTTACATCATTTAAAAATGTTGGGAATTATATTGTTTCCCATCGAAAAGTAGAAAATGCCAATGCAGATGAATGTATTGTAATTGTGATAGAAGTAATTCCAAGGGTGAAGTTTATTATAATTAGTGACCTGTGCTTCTTTTTATATGTAGATGTTTCAGGTTTTGAGAATAAATCGGTTGAACGAAACCCAAAATTTAGAAGAAGTATTTGCATACCCAGAATATGCCCATCAAGGATTTTATAGCTCAAATTTCCTTTGATCCTAGGCAATTATTCAATGCAAAATAGCTCAAATTTCCTTTGATCCTAGGCAATTATTCAATGCAAATTAACTTTTTAAGTGACTGAAATATTAAATAGTTTACATTGGTATATCACTGTAACAATATATTACTTTTAGGTACAATTAGGGCCAGATACATTTCAAAAAGTAGAATATTATTTTATATTAAATGAGGTATTGTACCAACAATCAATTTATATTAATACCGCAGATTAAAAAATAACCGAATAAATAGTTCTTTCTTTTATACTACAAAAATAAACTATAGAATACAACAGTATTTAAAAAAAAAAGTTATGTCCCGCCAGAGAATAGGTACATTAAAGAAATGCTAACTTCATGTTAAAAAATGGAAACAGACGCCACCTGGTGTCGCCTGGCAGTACTAGCTAAATTGAGGGGAATTGGAGGGGCGGGGCTTAAAAGAGGGGAAATTTTTAAAAAAATATTTTTATAAGTATCACTGACTTACTGTTTAAAGTTAATAAACATATTTTTTATTACTTTAATATAATTTAAAGTATTAAAAAATATGTCTATTAACTTTACACAGCAAAGCAATGATATTATTAAAGACTTATTATTTTCAGAGAAAATTTATAGTAAATAAATTACACATTTAGTAAACAATATCATTTATTTTTTAGAGCTGGGATTTATATTATAATAATATTGAAATATATGTATTTTTTTAACAATGAAAAAGAATATCCGGGAACCTGAAAAAGAAAGATGGTCAATTAATGACTTAAATTAGTTAAAAATACATTTTGCAAATAACTAGTGAATTGGAAAGATAAACATCTATTAAAAATACATTTTAGTAGTATGTTATCAGTGATAATACATAAGTATATAATAGGTAAATAATAAGGCACTATGATACAACTACCTAGTAGTTGTATCATAATAACTCACTAATATCACAAAAAATATGTGCAAATTTAAATTCCTTTAATGATCTAATCAAACACTATCTAGCCTCAATGCATGCCATTCCAAAGGCAAAAAAAACTATTATACCAAATAAATATAAGGTTAATAAAACATAAACCAAGCCAACGTGCATAAACAACCAAAAAATGCATCAAAAAATACTTTTATCAGATCATACCCTTGGATATATTATGTATTTTATATATCGCACATCCTGTTCAAAAGTTTACTAACTAAAATAGAGAATATAGAGAACATTGTCAACAGAAGTAAAAGAAAATTTAAGTTAAGGCAATATGCTCCTTTTTGCATATTAATAGCCAAATAATATAATGTTGATTTAATAAAATTTTACTGGCATCCTTCTGAGGTATAAATCAGATTAAAAGGATATTGTTTTTGTAATAATTGTTTCTTTTTGTTAACATTTTTTGAAGACAATACAGTTTTGAACGGGCTGTGCGATATAAACAAGGATCTTACTATTATTTGAGGTTAGAAAGTATTTAAATAACATAAAACATAATCAAAATCATTTTTCATCATAAATTATAGAGGTACTTACGTGTTTTGATATTATTATCAGGAAATAATACGTTTAGTTAAACAGGTACGCTGCCAGGCAAGTTCTATCGGCGGGTCTTTGCAAAAGTTGAAATCTAAAAATACAAAAATACGTTTACATCTTAGTTGTATTTACCAATAAAGTATTTGTGTGTAATTTCTGACTTACCAGTTAGCTGAATAATCGCATTAAATACATCCAAATGGTAATTTAATATTGTAAAAAAGCAAAATTGTTTTAAATCACTTGCCAGGACACCCCGGCCAGCTTCTTTGTTGGCAAAATGGCCGCGGTATCATGATTTATGCAATGTGAGTGACAAAGAAAGCCAATGCCTGGCAGATGTTGCTTTCTTTGTCGTTGTTCCTGGCACGTTTAAATTTGACTGTTGCCCGTTTTCCCATACAAGTGACACCCCCGTGTGTCCCGCCGAGATTCGAACTTCGGTCTCTCGCTTCCTAGCCCAACTCCTTACGCACTGCTCCACAGTAACTTGCTTAGCGATAATTCAATGACGGTATATAAACAAAAAAAACAGGTTTATAACAATACCTCGACGATTTGAACTGGCGCGCGGAGCGTGCTGACCAATAGCGCCTGTTATCACCTGTGACGTAGCGACCAACCTGCGCAATATCATACCTTGTATTCTTTGTACCATGAATGGTATCTATGTATAAAAATGCAGACCCACGGATTAAAGCGAAGTAACGCGAAGAATCAAAATACATGCAATTAATCCAATGACATTTTGGCCGCTCCGACGCTTCGCAAAAGTTTAAAGCATGATGCGCACTTGTGCGAAGCGCGCCGAAGCCGAAGCCATATGCGAAGCACTGTTTTTCGCACGCGATGGATAATTAAAGTTGTTTTAAGCTGACCTTTTTAATTTTACTATTATGCGTACAGAAATATTATCTATGTGACGATTTGATAAAACATTGGATTCATAACATTAATATAAAAATGCCTTTTATTCTGCATTTTCCTCAATTTCTACCCAGGTCAATACCTGGGTAGAAATCGTCTCAATTCATTATGATAATTTGGATTCTCAACATAACTCTTTGTAGCTCTGTATAATCATAATGCATGTTTCATCATCCTTGATCTCAGTAATTAAACTGAATTCTCAGGTTGTACGATTCCTTTGTTATGCTTGAGATCTGAAACAAATAAATATGTATAATTATGTGACACATAAAAAAACCTCGAGTATGGTTTATAGGATGAAAAAATTAAAAGTTGATGCCGTTGAGGGCTCTAAAATCTCAACAGAAATTGGCTATGAACTTTTTATCTTAGTCTTTAAGTTAACACAGGCATTATTTTTCATAAGAAATAATTATGGTGTTTATATGCCTTTTAAAAAAAAAATATAAGCAGGATTCAAAAACAATTGCTGATAAAGCAAATTTACATTTTTGAGTAGTATGCTCCACTTATTATATTTTTTAATTCTTACCTAACTTGGGTGTAAACCCTGGGTTAAATTCTTGAAAGAGGTCTTACAAGAGGCAGATCTTACCTCACTCACAAAAACTGCATCATCTGCACTCTGAAGATTCATGATTTGGGTTATCTGATCCTTTCTCTAAAATGATAGATACAATTTAAAACATTTAAAACGATAATTTCAATAAACCAAATTCAGTTTGGATTCGTAATACATATTAATATTTTTAATAAACTTTGGAATATCTAATAATTGAATCACTCTCTGCCAAATTAAAGTAGGCAGTGCCATAACTTTTTTATTTACAGCTCAATTAAAATATTTTTTATAAAGTTGATATGATATTTTTTTTTAAAATAATAATGTTCATCTTCATTACTGAATATTTTGCGACTTTAATTTGGCCCACGGTGTAGGTACCTACCCTTTTCAGTTACTGCTTTTCTCAGGTAACAGTACATGTCTAATACCAACGAGAGAGTGGTCCACCAAAAAGTTCTACAACAAATGTTTGTCTGTAAATACAGGGTTTGTACCTGGATTGCCATCACTGGACACCAAATTACCAGTAGGTTGATCATCTAAAAGATTATTTTAATTTTATTAGAACAAAATATCTGAAAACGTTCTTTATTTAACTAAATGCATATATACTTACTTTTAAGGTTTCGCACTTATAGATATCACTTTTGAAATAATGAAGGGCCGTTCTTCGAGAATGTATGTCTTTTGGAAAACAACTCCATGCATGCCGGCATCGGAACAACATACTTATGAAAGGGTTTACGGCCTGATTCCATCAATGTTTTTAATAAAAAGTTTAAACCATCACTAAAATTTCAGTAAAACTTTTTTCGATTTTTGACGGTGCATATTATTTGATTAAAACTGACTTGATTTGATTTGAAAAACGCTAAAAGCAGAGAATAGGTACGCTAAAAGTCATAATATTTTTTCCTCAAGCGCGACCGGTGGTTCGTCACAGAACTAATAAATTTGTGTATAACTGGTTGCGGTGAAAAAGTCCTTTCAAAGTTCTCAATTTCAGTTTCCCATATATTTTAGTTTGTATATGACTTAAACGTTTTGATATTTTGACGTGACCAGTTTACCTGTTTTTGTTTCTAGCCTACTACTATAATTTTAGACTATATAATCCTAAGCGGCAGCCTAACATGATTTGTTCTCTTAATATCTCCGGTTAGAGAGAAGATAGAAAGTAGCGGTTTACGTTGATATTTTGGAAATTTTGTGCTCTATTGAACTATGCAAAGAGAAATATAGCCTCCTATTTAAATTTTTTATGCAAAAGCGCAATATCTGTAATGATGTCAAACAATGTCCACTAGCCACTACGACAAAAATTGTGTAACCAAGAAAATCTATTTTAAACCAGCCCTAGTTTTTTAAATCGGGCAACCTAAACCAGAGTTATCCTTATTTTAATAAAAACAAGTTTAACTTTCCCCCACCACTTTATTTTCTGAGATAGAGCAAAATACTCTATATAAAATAAATTACCTAATTTCTTGATGATTTACAATAGTAATATTTAAAATACCTGTTCACCTGCATATTTTTGAGAAAGGCCCTGTTTTCTGATTGGCTATTAGAGAAACGCCTCCTTGCGGACATTTTTCGAACTTGAAAATAATGTCCAGCCATTTCTCTTGGTCGATTTACTTATTAGAATTTTTTTCCCAAAGTTATACGATAAGTAGTTTCTGAGATACAGCCGGCGTCCATTCTTAGTTGGCCACCCGGTACATGTTCTAATTCACCAACAGAATTTGAACAAAAGATCCTCGATGTGTATGTAATTAATGAAGCTGTATTTACACTAACAAATTAGTTGTACAAGACGTTTGATTAAATTAATTTATTAAAAAAAATATTAAATTATGATATTTGTACCAATATTTTGATTTCATTTAGCTAAACGTTTCTTTTTAAAATTATAGGAAGGCAAAGTACCAAAATTACAAATTCATACTTTTTTACAACAAAGAGGTCTATCTGATAACATGATCCACGTTTTAGTTAATTTGTTGTACAGCGAGTATGAAATGGACAAAGTCGTGAACCAGTTTCAGATGATAATAAAAAAGAAATCAAGCGAAGCAAGCAATTTGGCTAAAGAAGCTCTAGCAGAATTAAGAACAATCGTAGACAATGCTGAGCTGTATGGTATTGATGTAAGCGGCTGAATTATACAGGGTGGCCCAGAAATAAGTGCAAATATTTTAACTGGTAGTATAGTTCAACCCCAGAAACACGCAAATGAGTTTTTTTTGCGAAAAAAAAATGTTGAAAATTTAAAATTTTTCTTAACATTTTCCGGGAAATTTGAAAAAACTTTTTAGTGCCACTTGTAGTGTTGCAACCTCCTATGTTATCCACATGCTACATAGTTTTACATTTATACATTCATAGACAAATTTCTACTCCAAAAATTAGGAATGTTAAATTTCTCTTTTATCAGTGCTCATTATTAATAATTATAGAAAAAAAAACACATTAATTATTTTTAGTACTTATCCTTTCATTGAAAACTTAACAAAAACCACCGAAAATTAGCATAACAAAGATTAGCATAAAAAAAAGCATAACAAAGATTTTCGTAAACGTCATAAACGTAATGTTTTAGTTACATTACGTTTATGACGTTTACGAAAATCTTTGTTATGCTGCAAAATAACTTTATTTTGGAATAAATTAAATAATGATTTATCATATTATTAACAATCAGGTCACAAAAAAGAAATTCCTAAAATGTTTATCGTAATTTAGAATTCAATATATCGAAAACAGCCCAACGAATAATCGATTCATTTTTGTTTTGTTTGTTTTCTTTCATGTTTCTCTATTTTATTTCAACCACTGATTTACAAAACACATTGAAAAGCGCACATTACTTTGAATACCTTTCTGAATGAATAAATGTTCAGAATTATTATCTCTTATCGCCACTGTACGAACTACTTTCAATCTAAGAAAATACATGGTTCACTCAAAAATTTTAAACACGTATTATTCGTCGGGCTGTTTTCGATATATTGAATTCTGAATTACGATAAACATTTTAGAAATTTCTTTTTCGTAGCCTTATCAATAATCAATTCGTTTGTGTTTTGTTTGTTTCCTTTCATGTTTTTTTGTTTTATTTTTAAAATTTAATACGAATTTGATTGCTTCGAATGTCTTGAATTTGAAAAAGCAGCACAGTGAAGTGTATTTTAGTTAAGTGTGTATCGAAAAAGAGAACTGTCACAGTTACATCGATCTGTCATAAGTATCATCATAAGTATATATTTTAATGTTGGGGTAAGTTTTTTAATTTAACTTTTTTAACTTTTAAACATTTAACTTTTAATTTATTTTATGTAATAATATCACAATCTTAAAAATGTAATGCATCTCTGCAAACTCCTCAGGTGTTGTGATTTTATGACTTACTTTTAAACATATACTTTTTTGTCCATATGGCAACACAGTGCGTCGAATTACCTGAAATCCGGGCTCGATCCGGGTAATTGGATGTAGTTGGCGATATCTGCCGGCGGCGGCGGTTCTCAAAATGTTGCGATTATTTTTTTAAATTTTCAAAGTTAAATAACTCTTGTTATTTTCAATTTATTTTAAAAATGGTGAAGAGAAAATATGTTTATTTTGACCAGATCTACCACCCCTTAAAATATTTGCACTCATTTCTGGGACACCCTCTATGTATTTCTGTGATAATTTGTATTAGATAGGATTTGTTTTATAGTTTGATTTTGTGGTTGCGCCGGGATTAGTATATAATGTTCAACAATATTCGGGAATGATCTGTCAGTTTGTCTGCGAACTGAAAAAGAAAAGGAAACACGATAACAAAGAAGTTGTAGCCATAGGCGGAAGATACGATGCAATGATTGCCTACTATAGAAACATTATGGAACAAACTAATATGATCACAAAAGACGTTCAACAATCAGCAGTTGGTAAGTTATTTTCACATGTCTTGATATAAATATGTTCAGAACTTATCGGACATATTAACTAGTATCTAGTGTTTTTGTTGCCTTTTATCCAACAAGTTTGTTAGATAAATACTTAGCGAGTTAAATCGGCACCTGCGAAATGACTGAGGCGTCACGAACTGGAGGCGTAACTCTATTTAGCAGCATTGATAATTACCCGATATAAGTTCAAATTGTGGATCTTTTCTTCACTCGGCTGTTATATTTCGAAGTTTTAAAATGTTTTTATTCGAGTTTTTAAAAATATTATAATATATAAAAATAGATTTTGTGACAAAAACTTTCCTTTTATTGAGAATTTAAGTCAAAATGTTGCGAACGGCTACTCTTATATCGGAGGCGGTGGGAACAAGCTTTTGCTTCTGCACTTGGCTAAAAAAATATGATACCCACCTATACCTTACACTCCATACCAAAGGGCGCCACTTATTTCAAAAAGATGCTGATACTTTACAAAGGATAGTACAGACTGAAATAAGAAAATTTGTACAAGTGTATTAATTGAATGGAAACTAAAATTAGTATAGCTATTAATTATATATTATATTTTGAGAAACTGGATCAACCAATGAAACAATTCAAATACCCAAAAAAATAAGATTTATTAATATTCGGTACCTATTCGGCACAGCAGTTATGTACATTAATATATAAGAAATATGTTTAAGAAACTCTATCTTAAAACTTGTCTAAAATCAAACTATATCTTTTTAAATATTATTTTTTCAAACAATTATAATATAAAAGGAATACTTTTAGAGACGGTCTTGGTTATATTCGAATAATAAATATTTAAATTTGACTTGACTTATTACGAAGATTCATGAACCTTTTTGTTTATATATAGTTAAGGGGAAAATCTGTACCCAAGATTGCCCTTAAAGGTCAAAGATCGTAATGATATAAAAGGTTAAGATAAACAGATGTTAAATCCGAATGATCAATTCATACAACATGATTATTTTAATAATCAAATACAGGTAAAGTTTTAGTAATGCTGAAGGCAAATACTTAAAGCGTTAAAAAAATATAAAATGTAACAAAATGTCAAATTTTATAACTTAAGGGTTAAAGTAATGCTGAAGGCAAGTACTTAACCAGTTAAAAGTAAAATGTTAAGTATTGTTAATTTCTTAACGAATGGAATGTCAAAGAAAATCTTACCAAAACTATAGATCCATTAAAATCTCAACAATCAAAAGCTATATGGGACCTTCAACCATCTATAGGATAACAAAATCACAATATTTTTCCCATATTGTGAAAAATACCAGCCAAATAAAATTTTCTTAAAAATGGCACAGTGACCTCGGCACAGTGACCTCGGCTATCCGAGGTGACGATTTTGACGTTTCCCGTCTTGTCGATACACCAGGGTACGATCCAATATTTTCGATAGAGAGCGTTCCGAAATTTAAGTGTTGTAGAAATGTAAAAAGAATATCGATACAATAATAAAAAACTGTCTATAATAAAAGAAAGTAGCATTTGTGGAAAATGAAAATGCTACAATTTAATAGTATACGGAAAAAAGTCATACCAGTCAATAAATGTTTATCTCTCACTTTTTATCAATCAAATTTAATAAAGGGATACTTTAAGATGACAATAGCGTATAACATAAAAAAAAACGATAAAAAATAGATATTTTTTATAGCATATTTGATGTATTTTACCGGTATTTTACGTTCCCTTCCACGGCGCGACGACGCCGCGCGTTGTTTGAATATACTTGAAAATACTGAACAAATTATTAGTCTTGCTTGTTATTTACGAAATTCTTTAAAATGTAATGAAAATAATAAATTTCTAACTTTTATATGTGATCAATTAAAGTTATTAACTTGAGTTGAGTAAAAAGTTGAGCTTGAAGTAATATAAAATATTGTTTTAATGAGATAAATATGAGGTATGTTTTACTATAGTCTGTCCAACGAGAAGATCCTTGACAGTGATAGACGTGTCTGTCATTTTAATTTCAAAGTAGTTTATTTTATTTTACAAAGAAATAAGTTGGTACAACTGGAACGCATAGCAGGATATATTTAAAATTTGATTGACAAGATGACAAGTGATTACTTCAAAATATTGTGAAAAAAACTGTATAAAACTGAAAAAATGTAATCGAGTTATTTTATTTAATAAAAACGGTATGTGTTTTTGTAAAAACGGTACATACCAAAAAAATATAAAAAAGAATTATTATTTACTTTCAAGCTTTATGAAACTACCCGCATTTATGATTATATTTATCAATATAACTTATGTACAAATACAAATTTGTAATATTCCACAGGAATAAATAAAATAACATAGATAAATAAAACAAACTATTTTATTAATAATAACACCTACCAAATTTTATACCTTAGAGGTTGATTAATTAACTTTAATCTTAATTTTTTTAAACCAGTACCTTTTGACATTATTTTTCTGCAGTACTAAAATCCATTATTTACCTATCGTGTGATGTCGATATTTTACAGCTACTCCAGTTTTTAGTATGTGTTTAGTTTGATCCTTCTACCATATACGAGATGCACTTATCTACGACGAAATTGTATACAAACTTTATCGATGGCAACTTCATTGGTGTATAAGACTTTCTGCCTGGGCAGCGAGTATTAACCATAAACTGTGCTCTGGGTCTACAGTTAATTTTCACTCGATTTTTCCTCCACTTGATTTCAAAAGACACAAAACACACGTAATAATACGAATCAAAATGCATCATCTTCCAAAACGCAGGGTATTTAACAAAAGTTGGCACAAAATTATAACCTATAATTTGGCAAGACTTTGACAAGCGTCAAAAATGACAAAAATCTAAAGGCGAGTTCATACGCATCGGCGTCCGTTTGTCGTTCATCGTTCCGTCAAACCAATAAAATTGAAATACGATCTGTCATTTTTTAAATAAACCAATAAAACTGGTTAAAAACAACAAGACACGACGCATGACGGATTTATATTTAAACCCATCCATAGATAACTTAAAAATTACTAGAAACTTTTTTTAGTAAAATAAATAGATTGGTATGGGACGTCATCGGCTTTTCTTCTGTCATCGTCTGTCGAAATCTTACCTGAGAAAAAAAACAGAGTATAGAGAAAAATGTCAAACTGATCCTCTTGAAAGTACGTTTGGAAAATATAGACAGTTAGCTGGGAGTCAGTACAATATTTCTATTCAATAATTATATGAAGGCGAAAATAAACTTAAGATCAAAAATTCATTAAAATCTACTTGTTTTTGTTCTATAAAAAGCGATTCTTGTTATGATTTTATGATGACAATACCTTGAAAGAAATACCACGCGATACAAGTACCATCGAATCAGGTTGGTTTAAGATTGACATTACTATTTCTGAAGAAGATATCGAAAGTGTGAAGGAAAAACTGCCTGTTATTGCTTATTTAGGATGATGTTGCTGTTATATTGTCTTAAATAAAATTAAATGCGATACATGTAAGAATAATTTAACATTTTCAGCCAACATTCATATTGAACAAAATTCACTTATAAAACTTACTAGAGGCAGTCTTAGGTTTTCAAAAGATGAAATAACTAATATACACGGTTGTTCACCACATACGACACGGAGTATTGAAGCTAAACGATGAGATTTTTACAAATCGTAAGTTTTGGGTTCGATGAAGGACTATTAGAGGTACAATTTAAAAATAATTTTACAAGGTACAGAGTGTCCCAAATAAGTAAAAAATATCAAAGTTGTATTTTTTTAAATAGAACACCCTGTATATTATTACATTTTTAGTTTCTACGATTAAAATAAATGTAAATTTGATTAAGGTTTATTACACTTAAACCTTGCCGTTTTTGAAATATTTTCAATTTTGTGAAATTGCAGTAAAAATTTTAAGGCTTCATTTCTCCAAGGGTATCAAAGTTTTTAGTTCTAAATATTTAGTGAAGTTTATTTATTGATCAGTAATTGTGTTGCAATAATAAAAATAATACTACCTTATACAGAGTGTCTAAAAATTTATTTTAAATAATTATTAGCTTTAAACGGCAATAACTTGTTTAATTTAAATGGAACACCCTGTATATTTTATGAGAATCAGATACACAATTTAATTGTCTATCAAATTTTATTATACCATTTTTTACCTATCTCTTTAAGTTTCCGTAGAAAATGCATTTTCTCATAATTTAGAACTTATTTATCAATATACCCATGGAATATTGACATTTTAGATTATTTTTAAAGATGTACCAAATTTTTAAAGAGTACAGATACTAATATTGTCGATATAATTCGTTTATTTCATTAAAAAATAAAAAAAAACTGTTTAAATATTTGTTAAAGAAGACCAATTAATATGATTCCAGTAAAACTACTAAAAAATGATTCCAGTCAAACTACATTAACTGACTGTTTGCGTTGATTAATAATAATTGACCCAAATACTAAAAAACTTAGTTAGGGTTTTGTATGTGTATTAGACAGTGTGGTAAAAAGTAACACCTTAAAATACCTTTTAATAAATGCTTATTTATAACAACAGAGACGTTCATTTTGATAACTTATTATTATATTGATTTCTGACTCAAATCCACATTTATTTAGCATAATTTATTAACGAACACAATGAAGTATGTAATTGATTGGTATATGGACCGAAATAATTGTGTTATATTTAATTAACTATATACTCTTTATAAGGATTTAAATAGTTTTCTTTTTGCATACAAATGGGCTAGTAATATTATCGTTTTGCTAAAAATGATAATATTACTAGTAATATTATCGTTTTATTACTAGTAATATTATCATTTGGTCGGTAATTTTTTATCGTAATATTACTAGCCTGTAGATTTTGTACATTTGTTGCTTTAAAAACAATCTAAAATGTCAATATTCCATGGGTATATTGATAAATGAGGTCTAAATTATAAGGAAATGCATTTTCTACGAAAACTTGAAGGGATAGGTAAAAGATGGTATAATACGATTTGATAGACAATTAAATTGTGCATCTGATTCTCCTAAAATATACAGGGCGTTCCATTTAAATTAAAGAAGTTATTGGCGTTTAAAGCTAGAAATTATTTAAAATAAATTTTTAGACACTCTGTATAAAGTAGTATTATTTTTATTATTGCAACACAATAACTGATCAATAAATAAACTTCAGTAAATATTTAGTATTAAAAACTTTGATACCCTTGGAGAAATGAAGCCTTAAAATTTTTACTGCAATTTCACAAAATTTGAAATATTTCAAAAACGGTAAGGTCTAAGTATAATAAACCTTAATCAAATTTACCTTTATTTTAATCGTAGAAACTAAAAATGTAATAATATACAGGGTGTTCCATATAAAAAAATACAACTTCGATATTTTTTACTTATTTGAGACACTCTGTATCTTGTAAAATTATTTTTAAATTGTACCTCTAATAGTCCCTCATCGAACCCAAAACTTACAATTTGTAAAAATATAATCGTTTAGTTACAATACTCCGTGTCGTATGTGGTGAACAACCCTGTAGATTGAATATATAATTTTTAACAAAGTTTTGCAAAGTTATGAGGAGTTTTTTAGAATTCACAATAAAAAATATTTTATTAAATTAATTTATTATTTAATTAATTAAACACATTATTGCACTTTTCGCAATGTACTTCATAATGCTGAAGTTATTGTGAAAATTGCCATAAATAATTCTATTACAAATACACGTCTGAAAAACTACTGTGGTAAAAAAAAATTATAGACTCGGAAAAGGAAATAAAAGAAAGTTAAAAACTCTTTCAGCATAAATAAATACAATAACGATGGATAATGTGAGATGGGATATCAGTCTGATGTTGTTTTTTTTAATTTTTTGTTTAATTATTTATTAAAAATTCGGTGCAATTAAGCTTTAAAGTCATTATATACGTATAAACAGTATCAAACCCAAGTAGCATTTGGACGTTATCTAACGTCGGGTATACGTCGCGTTCAATAAACCCGACGTCGGATACCAACGTCGGTTCGACTGCCTGACGACCCTTATTTGCACCTAAATGGGGAATACAGATTCGAGACGCCTCGACGTCGGTATCTGACCTAATAGGGAATGTAATTCTACTAATTACCAACGTCATATTACGTTGGATTTTAGTCACTTAAAATTCGTCGCTAAGCACTTACGTTACGTTTGGTTTCATATTCGCTACCAAGAATACATAAAAACCTAACCAAACTACCTAATTACAAATGGATTCATAATCACTCCTCGAATAGAACTATAAGTGCCTACTAATTTCGTATTATAATAATTCTGAATCATTAATCCAGACATCAGTTTTGTCAACGGAAGTCACTTGTTTGATATATCTGATTAAAATACTCCGGAAAACAACGAGCGCCTTCAAAATTAGGTAGATTCATGAAATAAATTTCTATAAAAAAGTAACTCGCAAAATATTTTTTTATTTTCTAGCTGGTTTAATCATAAAACTGTACTGTGGTTCCCTCCAAACTCAACCTTATGAATATTATTCTACTAGAAATCGGAATGTGAATATAAATTTTAAAAACAAAAAACGATTTTAAAATTGCTGACAATCGGATACCTGTTAAGAATGGCGGATTTCTGTGTCCGACTTAATATGAACTACCAATATACCAATTCCGACCGGGTCTCCAACATTAGTCGTCTCACACGACCGAAGTCATCAAACCGGACGACCGGCAATCGTATTATGACGTATATAATTCCAACGTACGCCACGTAACCTCACTTTGCGTATCAATGATTTGTGGATTTGTGCAACTATATTTTAGTTTTTGTTTTCTCTTTAAAACAATGGGCAGCCACTTTTTTAAGATAGTATATACAAAATTTAAAAGAATTGGAACCAGCACCTCACATGTGGGAGGAGGATTGGGTCTGCTGGTTTCCTAAGCTAAAAAATGAAATTAAGATGCACCAATGTAATGCAGCATCTCTTCCGGATAAAAAGCATTCGTGGGCGGAGGGAAGATATCACTACTACTATTATTATTTTGCAAAAGCCTCGACCTCTTTCTGTAAAATGTAGATGAATGTCTAAATGCCTTTTTAGTGTTTTTTTAGGCATAATAAAAAAAATTAAGTTTGTTTACAAAAACTTTTATTAGGTTATGTTCATGATGTTTATTAGGCCGCAAATGCTACTTAATGGGTTGTATTTATGGACGTAAATAGAGATACGTAAATTAGGTTAACAATATGAACATAAAATACAACAAAATATAATTGGACGTTACTTTAGGGATTATCAGTGAGACGTATCCTATTCGGACAACGGGTAGACGTCGGGCTAGTTCAAGTATAGGTACGTCGTGCAAGCCAACGTTGGAACGACGTTGGGAAATTAATAAAAATGGTACGTTGTTATTTTGTACGTCGACAGATCGTTGGATTTACCGACTCGGATCCAACGACGTCACTTTTAATAGGAAAGCGACGTCACCAGTCGTATCACCAGTACCCAACCTAAATTTGCACAAAGTCTGACGTCGCTTCAGTTCAGATTTAGTTCGAAGTCAGATTGATGCTACTTGGGAATGCAATCAAACTTTAGGCCTCCAGTTGATGACGTCACGAATAAACTGTCCGGAGTGTCTGGCCTTGTTACACTAAATTAACTCTAAAACGTCTTCAAATTTATATTATATTTTATAATAGTTAAATTTACACATTTTTTCAAAACTGTGAAATTTAATAATTATTCATAATTATGGATTTCTGGCATATCATATTATTACAATAAGCCCTTCAATTATATGTAGATTATTTTCTCTGTTAGGTATATCAATTTCTTTGGACAAGCTAGTTCAAGCGATACAGAAAGAAGATTCTGAGGAGTTACCTAAAGTGACTACATTAGATACTGTAGTTTGCTCTGTTGGAAGCAATCATTTGTTGAAAGAGAAAATTAAAGTAAGTGGTTGTATAACATTTTATAGAATGTCCAGATGACAAATCCATGAAAGTGACAGTTGTCTGTCATTTTACTTTAGAAGTAGAATTAGAATATTTTTACTGTTGTCTTTCTAATAAATTAATTGTTAATATACAGGGTGGCGCACCTCATTCGCCTCGGTTGATTATACGAAAACGGAAAGATGTAGAAACAAAATATTTTATGGGTATATGTGGGTAGATAATGTGCACAATTTAAAATTATTTTGAAATGTACAAGGTGTTTCAGAACTAAGATCCATACCAAAGTTAAATTTTTTCTTATGGAACACCCGGTATTTTATTTCATTTTTGGATTCTTGGGCCCCAAAAAAGGTATTTATTATAAGGGTTAAATATGTTTAAAATCTTTGGTTTTTGAGCTATTTAAAGATATTTAAATTTGTATGCTACAATAGAATAGATTATTAACACCCTGTATATTACTTTTCAGAATTAATTCTTGTGCTGAGTTTAAAGGTAGAGAAATAAACTTTACAGAAAAATGTTATTCCTTTCTTAAAGGTATACAGGGGTATCAAAAATTGCTGGTCTATTTTAAATATTTATTTTACATAAAAACTTAGTTATTTCAAATGCAACACTATGTATTTTTTTAAATAAGTCGAAGCAGATTTAAACGCTCTTTCAAACTATATTAGGGTTTCCTATACCTATCTAGCTCAGATTTTGAATAAAAAGCGATTTTTTAATAAAATTATAATCAAGATGGCTAGTGTTGTCTGTCGTCGTGACAAGTTTCTAGTGACAGTTATTTAGTAGTAGTTAGTAGCTATTTTCAAAATTAAAACTAAACTAAAAAGAAATTAGTTTATGGACTTTTTTAAATTTATACCAGTTTACTTTTAATTAATTTACCTACAATAGTTTAATAAATAATATTTATTAAATATGTGTTTATTATTCTATCAAGAAAAACGAAGAGATAGTTCTTTGAATTATTTTACGATGACTTGTAGATATATAGATTTTCTATAAAAGAGCCAATTACGGCAAATTCATTTTCTTCATTTCCAACGACAAGTTTCTGCCTAATAGGTTTTTTATAAAGCACACTACCAGCTCTGCAAAATAGGACAAGAAGTTTTTCAATGAAATGCTTATCAGGAAGATTCCTATTTGAATATCTTTGAGCATAAGCCCTTGAGGCCAAGAAGCAATTTTCCTCACAAAAATAATATCACTAGTAACATATCTATTCGTTCCGCCAGTAAATACTGCTTTATTTTTCTTGATAAAATAATGAATACTTACTTATTAAACTATTGTAGGTAAATTTAAATAAACTGTAAACTAAAATTATAAATAATAATGTCCATAAACTAATATCGACTTTGAAAATAGTTACTAACTCTGTCACTAGAAACTTACCATGGCGACACCAGCCATCTTGATTGCAATTTTATTTAAAAATCGCTTTTTATTCAAAATCTGAGCTAGATCGATATAGGAAACCCTAATATAGTTTGAAAGAGCATTTAAATCTGCTTCGATTTATTTAAAAAAATACACGGTGTTGCATTTGAAATAACGACGTTTTTATATAAAATATATCCTTAAAATAGATCAGCAACTTTTGATAGCCCTGTATAAATTTAAGGAACCAATACCATTTTTCAGTAAAGTTTATTTCTCTACCTTTAAACTCAGCATGAGAATTCATTCTGAAAAGTAATGTACAGGGTGTTAATAGTCTATTCTATTGTAGCATGCAAATTTAAATATCTTGAAATATCTCAAATACGAAAGATTTTATACATTAATAAATATATAATAATTTATAATAAATGCATTTTTTTGGGCCCCAGAATCCAAAAATGAAATAAAATACAGGGTGTTACATAAGAAAAAATATAACTTTGGTATAGATCTTAGTTCTGAAACACCCTGTATATTTCAAAATAATTTTAAATTGTGCACATTGTCTCCCTACATATACCCATAAAATATTTTGTTTTTACATCTTTCCGTTTTCGTATAATCAACTGAGGCGAATGAGGTGCGCCACCCTGTACAAACTGTTATTATTTACATTATCAACAAAACTCACCTTCTTAACAGAATTTAAGGGACATAAAGGGCCTTTACTACTGCTTTCCCGTTCAAAATATTCTTCTATAATAATCTATAATAATGTTGCGATGCGTTTTTTACGGCGATTAAGCTACCTTGTACACTTTGCACCAAAATAGGTTCTAAAAAGAACAATGTTCGACTGCAAGGTCTGCTAGTAAACATTTTTAAGCTTAAAGTACCACAACACTATTTATTTAAACCAAAAACTCGTAATACAAAATTAAAGTGTCAAAAAGAATGACAATGTCAAGAAATAAATAAATAAACTTGACATTTTTTACAGCAGAGCTACCACCTGAATCTCCAGCGTGAAATTTAAATTCCAGTTATGTCCGTGGTTGGCAACAATGAATTTATTAATTGATATTAACAATTAGTTGATATTAAATATATGTGTGTCGTTCAAAACAATTCATTAGTTATTATACAACAATAATAAAATATAAAAAAGGAAATGACCGAATTTTTAATTGGATATTAAAAATTCGGCATTCTGCATTCAATTATTTATCTGATAACGTATAGAGTGTGTAAAAAATTGACATTTGTCAGTAATAAATACAGATACCTAAAGTCTGCCGAACGAGTCTGGGAAAATGTTGACTGACATCTGTTCACTAAAATAGGGCTGGCATGATATATATCAGTGATATATATCGGATATATATCATTGATATATATCATGATATTTATACCTTGATATATATCATGATATTTATAAAAAATAAAACTCAACAATCAGAAAGAAAAAAACAAAAAAAGATAATATTGATTGGATCTGGGTCAATTCAAATGTACCAAAAACTTTGCCAGAAACAGTAACTTTAATAATAATAGTTCTGACGAATCTGACGATTAATTATAAATAAATAATCATAAATTTGTTTGTTGTTAGTTTTAGAATATCTGTTTATTTTTTTGAATTTCCGTTTATTTTTTAGAATGGTGTATACGGTTGCGAGTTGTTGAGGACTGAGCCGTTTAATATTTTTCTTCTTTTTTATACATTTCCCTCACTATTTCTTTCTTATTTTTTTAAATTTTTGTTCATTTCTTAGAATTTCTGTTTATTTTTTAGAATTCCTGTTTATTTTTTTAGAATTTCTGTATATTTTTTTATATATTTTTGTTTTAATGTTGTTCCTATTATGTGCAAAGCAACAATAATTAAGTTGAAATAAATACATTTGCTTGAGCTCTTGATTTTACTTGATACTAAACGCAGTTTTACATAAAAAATAAAAGCAAAAATAAATATCAAAACTTGATATATATTGGATATATATCAGATATATATCGGATATATATCTGATATTTGATATTTATATAAATATCATGATATTTGCCAACCCTGCACTAAAATGGTATATAACTGTCACCGTCATGTATCCTCTCGGACATACCTTTTATTAGCATCTCTAGGAACTATTTATATATTTCCGTCACGTGATTCATATGGATGTACTATTATAAAAATTGTCCTTAAAATTCTTTGAATAAGAAGACTAAGGAAGGAGCATAATGCTATCCATGTATTCATGCATGGTGGGTGGAAAAGGCACCATAAAAGCACTCTAGGGTGGGGATCCTTGACAGTTCTGTTTGACGATTCATTTGACACATTTGAATTTGATTTGAAATTTTGTGGATTTGTCAGTCTTTACGGAGCTTATTTTATGTTATTTATTATTTATTCTACTACTGATAGTTGTATAAAGGTAGTAAATCTAGATAGAAATTGTGGCAGAACTTAAATTAACAGTGATACTATCGCTATTTATCGAAAAAGATTCTAAAGTAGTTGGTTGTGTAGCGTGCTGTAGATCTCGGCAAAAATTGAGTGAAATAATGGAACAACTTTTCGCTAGTAAGTGACTATATAATATACATACGTGTAGTAAACCGATCATTTATGAAATTCACTTAAATTAACTAAATTATATATTTTTCTTGCATTTTAGCTTTTATTTATTACTTGTCAAAGATTAAATGTCAAAGAATTTAGGTACGTTAATTTGACTTAACTGCTTCAGTAGCGTATCGGATGTTTGTGTTAATAAATACTTATTATAACTTATCTATTTTTATTAGAATTATATATTTTTATAACAATTTTAATAACTACCAACATTTATTCACAACGTAAAATAAAACCACAAATTATTGAGTCTACCCCACGTCTACCCTACATCATAGTTTTACATTTTTAAAATAAAATTAGAACTACACTGATAAACCGGAATTTAAGTCGGCCATATTTGAGGCCCATCGCGGTGTACCTAAGATTTTTGATATGCTCCTTCCTTAGTCTTCTTATTCAAAGTTAAAATTTATTTAAATTTAGGTTAATTGTATTTTCGTAACATTTTAGATGCTGAAATGTTTATGGAGACATGGAATAAAGAGCTCTTTAATTGAGGAAACTAATTCTGTCGAGGTTCAAGAACAACTTATGAAAATTGGGGTGCCTCACGCTTTTATTTTTAAAGACAACGATCAAGTTCGCGTTAAAAGTTGGGACGTTAGTTCTAAGGACAGGTAATAACAGTGTATGCTTTAAATATATTTCATCATAGAGACACACATATTTTTATTTTACAGCTTTGATAAATTTCAAGAGAAAACCTACAATACGTTAGATTTGCAAGATAATTTCTCGAAACTCTTTAGAAGCCGTAGTGATAGTATTGTTGAGGGTACGCAGACGAGTAATATACTTTCAAGATCGGAGAGCAAGAATAGTTATACGGATAAAAATGATTCTGAGCCAGTCGTGGATATTGTGTTAGTTATTTCTGGAAAAGCATCGTCCACCGCAAAGAGAAGATATGATATGCAGGTGGGATATTAATGCAATAGGGTTTACAGGATGATTGTCATTAAAGCGACATTATAATAAATGTTAAAAAATGTCTATGCCTCTGTGGCAGATTCACAAAATAAAATGGTTATTTTTAGTAAACAGTGCCAACAAACCAATTTCAAAGTTGGATTTCTCGCGAACCACTCATTAGATTTTGATGATTTTGTTTTTTTTTTCAATCGTAAATTAATTCCTTCTTAACGGATGCTACGTCAGCACTTTTTATTCCGAATTTATTTTGAGCATATACAGGGCACAACAATAAGACCAAGTTTTTTGCCCGAACTTTGTAACACAATAATCAAATCACATTGTAGCCTCATCTTTTGTGAGCATTTTGTTTTTTTAATCACGACATTATCTTTGTTTGTATTGGAGATACGCTGCTTTAAACAAACGCATCGAAAAAAGCTTTAAAAACAAGTCAAACATCAGAACGTAGTTAGGTTTTATCTAAAAACTAACTCATACATGAAAATTAAAATGAATGGTAAATACATTTTAAGGGACTAATATCTAGTGTCCACTCGCCTGGTGAAATTTCCCGTTGCCATATATCGATTCCAGGCATCCTGGACTGTTGTTCTAAATATATCCAGTACCCAGGGTATCGGAGACATAACGTTGACTTCGCCCATCCTTAATTAAAGCCACAATACGAGCAACATCCGTTTGGAATATAATATAATGACATTTTTTTAATTTGACAGCCGTTGTTGTCATATTGCAAATACCATAGATAAAAGAAAATAATCTACTATTAAGATAGATATGAAACTTAATAGTAAAATTTTGGGTCAAAGCGCCCCTCCGTGTTTTTAGTGGAGACTACGTTTAACCCAGCGCCTTCGCCTTTTCTGCTGTAAATGTTTTTTATGTTTATATTTGAATTCAAAGGATTTATTTTTAAAGTTACACTGATATATTAGTATACCAGAGTAACTTTAATAAAACATAAGAATATATATATATTTTACAATTTATTTTTTTATTTATTTTACAGAGTTTCATGTAAATGATCGTAAGTCGACTGGCTGTCTAATGAATAGACCGAGATTTATAGATTTTAAAGCGAACGAAAAAAATCAAACAACGAATACATACCATATATTTTTCTTTTATCTAAGATACATACCTTATCGTCTTTTGGAAACACGTACATTTTTGCAGTTTTGTTAGTTTCTTTGCAAGATGCAACACAACAAGAAAACACCATTTTTACAGTTAATAAATAATAAAACTATTTCTGACTATGATATTTAAAATTTAGATAGATAGAAAATTAAAAAACAAACGAGTATTTGCAAACGCAGGCCCAAATTCAATAAAAATCAAAATTTTTCCTGCGAAAATCAGGCTTTTTTCACTGAAAAGGTATTTTTTGATTTATCAGCAGTCATTGTCAAGTTGACAATATACAGGGTGTTTTCGAATTAGTCTAAAAAAAATATGGTGTGATTTCTCATGTGTTCTTAAAACAATTTTTATATAACCATTAGGTCTAAAGTACTTCCTTTCTGATCTACAGGGTGTTAAAAATTAAAAATTTTTTTGCTTAACATAAATGGTACACCACTACTTTTTTAAAGAAAATATATTGTTTTCTTGACTGGCCATCCTTTTTCAACAAAATTGATCTTTTGAGTTTTTCTTGTTCATCAAACGGTTGTCGAGAAAAAAATAAATATACTTATTAAGAGCCTTAATTCGTTTTCTAACGATTTTTTATTTTTTAGATTAATTAGGAAACACCCTGTATATGCCTATCACAGGCAACCAAATAAACTAGTAACCTCTAAAAATTATTTTTCTTACCACTAGCGACACACCGTGTTTTTAGTGTGTACTAAATTATTTTATCAAAATTTCACCATATAAGTTTCCAGGCAATGGCAAATACTCATAAATCCTTCTTCACCTATGTCGCCTTGATTATTTATACATAAAACTTTCTGCCTGCGAAGCATTTTTCTGAGAAGTTCGTTTTAAAACAGCATATCTCCAATACAAAAAGAGATAATGTGGTGATTAAAAAAACAAAATGCTCACAAAAGATGAAGCTACAATGTGATTTAATTTAGCAATAGCTACTACCTCTGCTGCACCCTACAGTGTGTTATAAAGTTCGGGCAAAAAACTTCGTCTTATTGTTGTACCCTGTATATGCTCAAAATAAATTCGGAATAAAAATTTCTGACGTAGCATCCGTTAAAAAGGAATTAATTTACAATTTAAAAAAAAATATCAAAATCTAATGAGTGGTTCGCGAGAAATCCAACTTTGAAATTAGGTCTAATTTTTGGTGGCCGGTTTTTTTGCCAGTGAGTTTATATTGATATTTATAATGTAATGTTTTAGACGAGAACTCAGCTAGATGGTTTATTTAAAAAATTGTGTGGATTCATAACCGTGGTGGGAATTACTGCCGAATCAAATATAGTGAGGACTTTAAATTCGTATTTAGACTTCAAATCGGAAGACGTATTCTTTAGGGCGGCAGAAGAGTGTATTTCAAAGTAAGTAAATTTTATCTTAGATAAGCCATCAACTTCCCATTTAGGGCTTTCAATATACGCCAAGTCGAGCACATCCGTACTTCACAGCGTATTTGTGCACATTGCGACACTTATTTACTTTTGACCACCTTGTAACTTCGTTATGGATAAAACAAGAATATTAATTTTTACTAAACATGAGGACATAACTGTGGCTGGCTAGATTATCAAAATATCTAGTAATTATACCTCATGTAAGTAATATCACAGATAACACATAATCCAGATGGCTATTGCTTACGGAACAGCATGTTTTCGATGAGACAGTTCCCTATTAATGACACAGAGGGCGCCTATAGCCAAATCTAATAATATTTTTAAAACGAACGAATTTGGAGTCACGCCACGGCCACGCGATGTGAAGCGACGTAGCCGGTTGTTCACATTTATAAGCAAATTCCCGGCCAAACCCAGGGAAAATGTATATTCGGACTTTAATACTAGACAATTGGATATCAAAATACTAGTCGCAGTGGATGTTTGAAAGTCAGAATTTCTAGATGCATATGTATGATATTTATAGCCATGAAATTTATAATTTAGATTTTATTTTTATTATTTGTCTCTTAATATTCATTAGCTGAAAATAAGGGTAAAGGTTATCTATATAGTAATAAATAAAATTTGGCACATAGGTTCCTTAAGTGATGTAAATGAGCACTAAGAAGGGATTTTTTGAAAATTCGACCGCTAAGGGGGTGAAATTAGGGATGAAAGGCTGCATAAAAATTTGTTAAAATCTGGTTTAAGAGTATGAAATTTTTCACGAGTGCTCCTTGATTGACGTAATTAAACACTAAGGGGCAATTTTTGGAAATTCGCTCTTTAAGGGGGTGATATGAGGGGTACTTTTGTATACAAAAAAAGCATGTCCTAGGACTACGAAATTTTGTACAGAGGTGCCTTAAGTAGCGTAACTTAACAGTTCAAAGCGATTTTAGGAAATTCTTCTCCTAAGGGGTGAAACTGGGGGTGAAATTTTGCATATTTTTTAAAATTAGTCCGAGGAGTTTGAAATTTGGAAATTGTTAATTAAGTGACGAAAGTGAGTACTCAGAAGCGAATTTTGGACATTCATCCCATAAGAAATAAGGGATGAAAAATGGTATAAAAATTTGTTAAAATCGGTTTTAGAAGTATGAAATTCTGCGTAGACGTTCCTTATGTAACTTAATTTAGCACTAAGAGGCAATTTTTCGAAATTTTCCCTCTAAGGGGGTGAAATGAGGGGTGAACGTTCTGAAAAAAATCTGTCCTAGAAGTATGAAAATTTACACAGAGGTTCCTCAAGTGATGAAAGTGAGTACTCAGAAGCGGATTTTAGGCATTCGCCCCATAAGAATTAAGGGATGAAAATTTGTACAAAAATTCATTAAAATCGGTTTTGGAATTATGAAATTTTGCGCAGACGTTCCTTATGTAACGTAATTTAGCACTAAGGAACAATTTTTGGAAATTCGCCCTCTAACGGGGTGAAATAAGGTGTGGACGTTCTTGGGCTCTAATCAACTGTAGAGTATTCGTCAATCAACCTGAAATATGTAATATTATTTACTTTATATTTACGAAAAATTATCATTTTCTTTTTATGAAAATTTTGAGTTTAAATTTAAATGTGATTAGAATAAATATACATCAGTATTTAACATTTTATCATAGGTAATATTCTATATATTTTCTGTGATTTTATGCTAAAATGTTTAGTTTTGTGAAAATATTACTTACCTATAATATTTAAACGAGTTCCTGAATGTATAATTTGTTTATCACGATGTCAAGTTCTAAATCTTGTATTGGTTGTCTAAAACTGTTTGATTTTGCTTAGTTATATTGTATCCTATATTTTATTAAACAAACTCAAAATAATGTTTATAATTACCTTCATCAGCCTTCATATCATTAAAGTTATTATTATCACTTATCATTATCAGTCATTATGTACCTATTTGTTCATTTGTTGCTCTGTTTGTTGTTTGTTTTTAAAGATCATTTTTGAGGTTAATGTCATATGAAACTTTTCGTAATTAGGCAACTGGTAAATGACGTGTGACGATAAATTAATAAAATAATAATGAACGTATATAACCCACAAAATTCTAGATGTTGATGAATTTAGAAGTATGCTTTGGAATTAAATAAAACAAGATATTATTTTTTTTTAAATACTAACTTATATTTACTTAACAATTTCTCACTATAGTACAATTGGCTGGCTGTGACAGTCTTGACTATATTATAAAGTAAATAGGTAATTAACTGGGATACTTAGATATATGGTTCTGCTTCAGTTGATTGGGAGAAAGGCCTCGCCCTCTTCGCTGCACTCATCCGCTGGTGGGTAGCGTGATTGTCTGGCTAATCTTGGAGAGCTTGTGAGACTCCACCAGTCTCAGTGCGTGAGCTACTTATGGGGAGGGTCAGTTCTCGTATCTTCCTAGAAGATAATAAACAGCAGTATGCTATTCCAAATAATGGTTAAGTACCCAGTTATGTGGTAGTGTTCTACAGTACCAAGTCGACTGTCTGTGGTTGCCAATATAATGTACAATGAGAGTCAATCAAAATTTAAATCAAAGGTATAGTTATTTACCTTAACAATATTTAAATTAAATCTAATTAACTACTACTAAAAATCAACTTAAAATTAACTCTAAAATTAACATTAAAATTGATCAATTTTAAAATACAAAAGCCAAAAGGCATCAAAAACAAATTAGTATTTAACCAATAAATTGTTAGTCTTCTCTAAAAGCCAACCAATAAAAAAATTATGAATAGCAGACAAAATTCTACTATCAACTTGAAAATTTAATATTAATAATTAAATTAATAAAATTTTAATTCAATTGAATAAATTTTGAAATCTGGCTATAACAGCTTAAATGAAATTAGAATTGAGTATTGTCCAAATTATTTTAAAAAAATAGGCAAAGATAAAATGTATATCTCTCTCTGTCTCTCTCTCAAAAAAATGTAAAATCAATTTAATAAAAAAAATATCAAGACCACTACCACACTATAGGTACGATTCTATTAGATAAATATAAAAAAATGTGGTTCCATCAGACAATTATTTATTGCTTTGCACGTGCTAAAAAAACAAAATCCAAAAAAAAAACAATACGAAGAGACGATGATTTAAATTATAAAAAAAATATTATTAATAAAAAATTTATCGACAGATAAAGCGAGAAAAAGAAATCAGAAAAATCTTATCTGTCGAGGAGTCAAACGAGAAAAATAACCACCACAGGGTCCAGGTATGGAGAAGCCACCCTCTGGCAAGGAAAGTTTTTTCAAAGATGACTATAGTCGTTAATAATGAAATTATAAAAGCTTTACTTACCAAATGCCTGCTTTTCCTGGGATCTTCCTGATCGTACTCCTGCAGCAGTTGTTTCTCTCGGACAGCCTGACTCTGTATCGAACACCTGTCTGTGTTCCTGTTCCACGTTGTGGCGTCTCCGTATATTATATATAGGTAGAAAAAATAAAGACAATAATTAGTTATTTATAACTCGAAAGATAGTAGAGTAACTATCTTACGATAAGTCTAAGCACGTGCTGTTATGAGAAAAAACTGTAGCTATATGATATATAAAAAAACAAATGAAAAAAAAACAATAGGTAGCCTTATATTAAGGCTACTAAAAAGCACTGAAATAATTGCTGAAAATAAATTGTTAAATAGAACCGTAGTAAAATTATCTAAAATCGTACCTTCAGTACTTGACTCACTGACATCATCAAACATTCTAAGGTATTTCTAGATGTGTCACAAACTACAAATTTTGAATTTTAGGTAGCTAAGCTTATAATGGAAGAAAAAAAATGAACTATCTCAAAATATCCTTACGGATTAATACGGTTTCTGACTTTCCAGTCTAGAGAAAGATAGGAAACTAGAATTAATCAAATTGATCTTATCTGATTTTATTTGTATATGAATGGTGTCATATACTTCTAGAAGTGTCACAAACATATAATGGTTAGGTACTTCTAGAAGTGTCACAAACTTTAAATGTTGAATTTTAGGTATCATTAAGCTTATAATGGAAGGAACAAATGAAAAATCTCGAAATATCCTTATAGATTAAAAGTTAGCTGTCTAGCCGCTTACGGTAACTGACTTTTCGGCGATAGTAATAGGTGAATTGGTGATATGATTGTTTTGAAAATTTGGATTTTTATATAAAGGCACCTGTTCCATATATGTATGTTGTGAGATCTCATGTAAAACCATAGACAAATAAATAAAAAGAGACTGACAAATCTCATTGTAAAGAGTGGGACCGCGTTCCCGTAGCGCAACTCAGAATAACAATTTTGAGACCAATTGGCATTAAAAAAAAGTTAACGTACGTCTTTATTGCTGTCTTATAAAACGTATCGTAAGACATTATCGCACATTCTGGCTGGCGGGAAATTTGTGGAAATCAGTGAAAATTTTCAGTTCCTTCAGAACGAAAGAATACTAGTATAAGGGAAAATATAAAAAAGCAAAAATTGTACTGTTTTATAAACATATTTATTTATACATAAAAATAAATAAAAAAATTCTATAATAACAAAAAATAACAGTGTTTATTCTGCCCACCCACCTACCAATTTTAAATGCAGAAGTAGGAATTAGATTCGAATTATTAAAAAAAAGTTAACAAAAAGCAAACTATTTTAACGTAACAATTTGGATATGTACAGGGTGGGTCAAATTCGACGCTTTTAAATGGAAACACCCTTTTCTATAGGAGATAGACGAAAATTAATATCGGTGTCTGGAGCTCAATTTTCATCAAAAACATTATGGTGAAAACCGCACATCAATATCTGTTACCGTTTCGGAGTTACGGGGTGTTTTTCAAAAATGTGCATTTTTAACAAATCGCTGTAACTTTTTTACTATGGAAAATTTTGTATTTCTATGAAAACTTTTCCAAAGCATCTTTTTACGTAGAATTTAATGGTTTAAGTATAATTTTTTTAAAATTAATAATTTAAGAGTTATCAACAGAAAAATTGATTTTTTATTTGGGACACCCTATATATTTTTATTTAACTGAAAGGAATTTAAAATTACCTTTCCAAAAATATAGCACACTTGATATTTTGTTACAATCCCCTTCAAAATACAGAATTTTTAAAAGTTCGCCACTTTTAACTAGTAGGCTTTGGACCCCTTATTGATGATATGCCCTTAATGGAACTCGAAAACATATTTTTCCAACAAGACGACGCACCGCCTCTGAACGCTGAAGTTATCAGTAGTGTTGGGAAAATTCGAATTAAATAATACGACTAATTCGATACTAAATTAAAACTAACTAATTCGAATTATCTTTTTCGATATAATCGAGATAAAAATTAGTAGTATTTTATATTATATCTGTGGTAACCGAATTACAAATGAACATAAAACATAACCTGTTATGGACGAATATTAGTAATTAGTACTATTTAGTAGTATTCTTTCGTTCTGAACGAACTGAAAATGTTCACTGTTGATTTAACTGACACAACTGATTTATAAAGAGAATCGACGAAGAAAGGAACGATCCGATATAGAAAAATCCAGAAATCATTGTTATATCCTATACCACGTAGGAATAAATCAGTTTAAGTGAAAATTTTCATTTCGTTCAGAACGAAAGAATACTACTATTATTTGGTTCATTTTCATCTCACCCAAATTTCACCGAACACCTGCCGAACACTAAAATGAATTTTCTTCTTTTATCTAAATAATTATTGATTGCAACTGATAAAATAAAAAGAAATACGAACCGCACGTAAACAAGGACATACTTATATCGTTTTAGAAGAAGCTTTTATTTTAGATATGAGCTTTTCAATAGGAATTGAAACAATCATAAACTGGGCACTTTTAACCCTGCGGACGGGGCGCCCTTGTGTAGCTCATGAGCCGGGGCGCCGGGTCTCTGAGACCCATCGTCAAATATCGCGTTTTTTGGAAAAAAAATTAAAACACTATATTTTAATTGAAAAAATATACCTTAGTTTATTCAAATATTATAATAGGAACATGATTTAAATATACATAGACAAATTTTATCTTGTTCTAAAATTTGTTGTCAAAAAATATACCATTTTCTAAAAACTAGGAAACAACTGGTAAATAGGTAAACAAAATAAGATTTTCTAGTGAAACTTTATAAAAATATTATAGAACAATAGTTTTTATTAATTTATGGCAATTTCTGAGCACTCAGGACACCAAGCTTCCATGTGAGAGAGACAAACAAATTTTTTACATTTTTTGCAAAAATATTTGGTTTTTGAATCCTTTTTGCAAAAAAAGCATCTTCTTCTGTTACCTGGTTGGATTTCTTCATTTTTCATATTTTCTTGTGTTCCAGCGACTTCTTGTCTTCTTTATTTCACCGATCTTGGCACATTTGTTTCATAGTGCGGGCGTTCCTCTTCTCTCTCTCGCATAATTTTTCGCTAATCCAGAAATATAGTGATTTGTGTTCTCCCCTACAATGTTGAGCACTTCAGTAGTAAAAAATAACGACCAACATTCAACGGGTGTTTTGGCGTTTTTCCCACAGTTTCTGACGCCTGGTAATCGCACAATAATATTTTCCCTTCTCGTTCTTACTGTTTTGTTTGGGAAATGTTTATGCCACCGCGTTGTGCCATCTTTTCCAACGAAAGTTGGAATTCTTGCTAATTTTGCAAGGGGTACATCGTCGTCACTGCTATCAGAACACTCTTGTTCGGATTCGCTATCAGTGCTTCGAGTTTCAACTTGATTTTCCTGAAACGCCAACTCCTCTTCTTCATCATACGGCTCTTCCTCTGATGCAACTTCCTCCCATAAACGACAAAGTTTTTCTTGCTCTTCTTCATAATAATTAGACATTGTTCTGCTAAATGAAACAAATCCTATTTATAAAATTTATACAGTATAAATGACATTTACCCTAACTTACCATAGAAAAATATATCCAGCCAGTTGTAGAAAAAATACACTGAGCCGGGGCGTATATATATATATATATATATATATATATATATATATATATATATATATATATATATATATATATATATATATATATATATATATATATATATATATATATATATATATATATATATACATACTTAGCAGTTATGAGAGGGTATCTTTCACCCCTACTGAGTTAATGAATTCCGCGAGAAATGTTCAAAAACTGCCCCGTCTGTCCATAACAGAAGACTGTCGATATGTTGAACACCTGTAGCAAAATCTCATGTCTTGGTTTGCTATTTATTTTTATTGTTATTAAATATAGTTTAAATGTGTTGATGTTGGTTAAATATATTTTAAATTCTAATAAAATTCTGCATCTCTCATAGCAAATATTATTTTCGTTTTAATTGATGCTTACAGCTAGAATTTTTTTGCATTACGGCCGGTGTCGTTCAAAGCCTACTTATTTAAAGCGGGCGAATTTTTATATACTCTATATCTCGAAGAGGAATCGAGCAAAATATCAAGTGTGCTATATTTTTGGAATGGTAATTTTAATTTATTTTCAATGAGTTAAAAATATACAGCGTGCTCCATTTAAAAAATCAAATTTTCTGTTGATAATTCTTAAATTATTAATTTTAAAAAAATTATACTTAAACCATTAAATTCTACGTAAAAAGATGCTTTGGAAAAATTTTCATAGAAATACAAAATTTTCCATAGCAAAAAAGTTACAGCGATTTGTTAAAAATGCATATTTTTGAAAAACACCCCGTAACTCCTAAACGGTAACACATATCGATATGCGGTTTTCACCATCATGTTTTTGACAAAAATTGAGCTCCAGACACCGATATTAGTTTTTGTCTATCTCCTATAGGAAAGGGTGTTTGCATTTAAAAGCGTCGAATTTGACCCACTCTGTACATAGGTACCTGATAGATGTCTCTTTATAAACACGTTTTGAAAATATCATAACAAATAATAAAGTTGTTTACTATCTTTTTCAGGAAAGCGGAAAGAGCTCATATTTCTATAATTGAAGGGGTTGCTGCAATAACCAGGCAGCTCCATTTTAATAAATTTGTGGGAAATCGAGCTGCTCGGTTCTTGCTGCAAACCCAGAGCAAGGCAGCTCCAACTAACGTCGCCATTTATGTACTGCTATATTGAGAGAACTGATTGTTGCAGGAAACGACCAGCCAATTTTTTTAAATTGTAATTCATTAAAAATCTAATTTTCGAAAAAAAGCGGAGCTGCCTATTATCAGTAATTTTGGAAAAATAAGATTAAATGAATTAGAATTTTGGTGCGTTTCAACTACTTAAATAAATAAAAGACTGTTTAAGCTAATTATTTTTTTTAATATTATTAACATTGATTTTTTTAATAATTATTTTCTTAATTATTAATAATATAATAAACATATTCTAAAAATTAAAACATAATTTGATTTGAGTTGTGCATTTGACAATGTGTATGCTATATTAGACGTTTAAGATTAATGTCAGAAAATTAAAAAAAACTGTTATTTTAAGCTGTTATATATAAATAACAGTAACAGTTTCAACTGTTATTTAAAAATAACGGTTTTGCCCACCACTAGTCCGATGATTATATTTATTTTTGGGTATACCGATAGGTTCTCTTAAGCTCCCGTTAAATTTATTAGTAAAATAGATTTTGAAAGCTTATTATTTGTCATCTATTTATTTGATTCTTTATTTTTTAGATAAATATTTTATTTGGGTGTAATGTTTGTATCGCTTTGATATATATTTTTTATTTTTCAGACACCAAAAAGAAAGACAGTACATAAATGAAATCTGTGATGAAATATGGAACGTTAAAATGCGAAAAACAAATCCAACCATCGTTTTATTTAGTTTAAAAGATAACTTTTATAAAGTCCTAGTTTAAGTGCCAATTTTTCCAGTTATTTGTTACACATTGATAGTAAGTACGTAAAAAATAAAACATCTCTAAAATTTATACATAACAATCTTTTTTATTTTTACTATTTAGATTTTATATTCCAATAGCCTTTGGAATAAATTGTTTGTTTTTTGGAATGAGAATAAACCAAGTTTATTTTGACTATAAGGAACATTCTTTTGCACTGTCATCAGATTTAGTATTAAAGTTCCAGTTTAAGTTTTATTATATTCATGATTATTTTGACTTTTTTTTTAATTTTTTAGACGCCTTAGTTTTAAATATATTTTTTCATTTGATTTTGGACGTAAATACTATAAAAGATCTTATATTTAGAATTTTTCATTGAAATACGGTATTGATATTCATAATTTGATAATATAATTTTTATTTTTTTAGTTTCATTGATTTAACATAACAATTTTATTTAATATACATATATTTTTTTATTTTGAATTTGGTTTCTATTCTATGAATATCGTCGAATTTTTTTTAAAAAATACCAAATTTACTTTTTAGTTATCATTTTGTTCTACTATGCTTGAAATTCTTCAATGAGAAAATGCATTTATAAAGTATACTGAGTATTCATTTGGCATACTTAATTGAAGTGATTTTATTATTTGGTGTTTAAATATAGGTATTGCCTAACTGAAGTACATTGTATTTGACATTTTTTTAAATATTATGGAGATGTTATACCGTGCTGGCAACTATTACTTTTGGGTCGGAACTTGGGTCGATGTGTGGAAGCAAATCGCATAGTTCGATCGAAACACACACCCTGTACACCTTTCCCTAGAACTTTAGGTACTGACAGAAGAACTGATTGGGTCGACCGGTGGTCTGCGACAAATCTGCTTATCCCCTTCAACGTCTCTTAGCAATGTGCACAGTTTCTCGGTTTATTTCGGGCGCCTGGTAACGTGTTTACTGTTCTCTCTTTGTTTAATACATTATAAACGCATTGTATTCTTACATACGGAAATCTGGACCCAAGACTAATCTTTGCCAGCCCTTAGTATAGTATTATCTCCATTCTTTTTGGTAAATCGTAGCAGAAAAGTAGTTTACATAGAAAATTGTTTTAGTTTGATAGTGACACAGTGACAATATCCCATATCTTTTTTTAGAAATATTTTTCTCAAATTATTGTTTGATAATCTTGTTTGATTATATCTCTGTCAGTTTCTGACATTTTTTCCTCGTTTCTGTATGAAATTTATAAAATATTATTTACTCAGTTAAATATTTCCCGTTAAGAGTTCCCATTAAAATATTAAAATGAAATAATCTAAACATTACGACATTTATAAGTTTATAATAGCTACAAAAAATAAACATTTTTGTATGTAATTTTTTTTCTATACATTTAACGACTAATTAAAAATGAGATTATTCTATTTTAAAACATGGTAGTGTATTATGGAATATCTGTATGTTCCTGTAATGGATATTCCTGCTTTGCTCAACTTTCATCTGTTTGTAGAACTTGTTTTAGGTAAATATATATGAATATATTTTTTCTATGAATATGTGTTTTTACTTATTTTATTATCCTGCATTTTCAAATACTTAAAAAAATCGAAAAGTCAAATACATATTTTGTTAACGTCTATCTAACGAGCCAGGGAATATTTCGACAGACGACATTCCAAAAATTTCAGAATTAAAATGGGCAGACAAGAACTATCACTTTCATGAATCCTCTCAGTGGCCAGCCTTAGCCCACGGCCACACAGAAAGTGTTTTTAGCGTTTTGCGTTTTTTCCGTCTCAAACGCTTTTTTGCGATTTTACCGTTTTAAGCGTTTTTTTCGATTTGCGTCCATTAAAACACGCAAAAGACGCGGCAGGTCTGCAATTTCTATCAGGATGTCAATTAGTAACGTCGCAAGCTCGTGCATTCCCGGTCCGTTCAACAATCAATCCTGCGAGAAAAAGATTGGCGAGATCGGCGCGGTTAGCGTTGAAGAGACGAAGATAAAAAATGCTGGGATTGAATTGTGGACGAGCCGGGGCATAAATTCGGCCACAAACACAATCTACTGCTAGTGCCAGTGGTGTGTAAAAACAATAATTATTATTTGCCATTTATTTTACGAATTTTAGTTTATATGTGTATAGTTTTTTTATGTTGTAGTGTTGTGGTTACTTGTTATAATTATTATAATATAATATAATAAATAATTATAATTATATAATAGAATAGTAAATATTACTAGTTGTTAACGCAATTTTAGGACATGATTTATGATATTTTTAGAGTTAAATTTCTTTACGCGCGCTGGGAGTAAAAATTCAAAGCCGTGACATACGAGCTAGCGAGACGGCCCTGACACACGAGCTAGTTGTAACGAAACGTATTGACGCGCATAATAATATTGATATTTTAATACAAATTTTGTAAAAGCGAATCAAATTTACGTGTAAAAAAATATTTGTTATACGTAAAAACTATTTTTAATATTTTTCGCGAATAAAACTGTTACACGTAAAAAAACTATTTTTACGCGTATAAAACTATTTTTTATGCGTATAAAACTATTTGTTACGTGTAAAAATCTATTTGTTTCACGTAAAAAACTATTTTTTTACGCGTCAAATACTTCTTGTTTCTGGTAAAAAACCTTTCTTACGAAAAAAAAATTACGTGTAAAAGACTATTTGTTATACGTAGAAAACTATTTTTTACCCGTCAAAAACTTATTGTTTCTGGCAAAAGAAATTTTTTACCCCAAAAAAATTTTTTTACGTGTAAAAGCTATTTGTTACACGTAAAAAACTTATTGTTCTGGTAAAAAACCTTTCTTACGCAAAAAAAATTACGTGTAAAAAACTATTTGTTACACGTAAAAAATTAATTTTTACGCTTCAAAAACTATTTGTTTCTGTTAAAAAACCGCAGAAAAAACACTTTACGCATAAAAAACTATTTTTTTTCTTTCTGTCACCTTAGATATAAAATTAGCTTTTGACAATGTACCAAAACCTTTACTTAGTAAGAAATTGAATAAGATTGGACTTAACGCTTAACGGTAATATATTGGGTACATTAACTTCTTAATTGATTGAACATTTTTTGTAGTGAGAATTGATGGTACCTTATCCTCTTTACGTATCCTAAGAAGCAGTTTATTTCTTATGATGATATTAACCGAGGAATGAAAGGAAAATATATTAGAAAATTTAAAATATGTACTCAATATAAAAGAAGTATTTAGAGAAACAATTTTTACATCCTAGAGCAATCCTGTATAACTTAATATAAATTGTATTAACCCAAAGGAAGACCATAATTTCTTATTTTAAAATTTAATCAAAACCTAATTCTGATTTTTAGTTACTAAATAATTATTTTATGCGTCTAATTTGTTTTACTAAAGTTAACCTGCAACATCTATTTAGTAGAAAAATGTTAAAAAAGGAGTTGAAGCGGAACTCATTAAATTTTAATCAAATAAACAATATTTAACCTGGCGTATTAAAATCATAAAAAAATCTATATCGCAACATATTTTTTAATTTTAGTCTTATTAAGAAGCAGATTAAACAATTATTTCCCGACTTAGAAGAAACTGAAAAAAAAGTTGGTATTTCCAATAATAGATAAAGGGTATTTCCAATAATAGATAAATCATAATAAAATGCTTTAGCATTGCTATTTTTTAATCCATACATTTACTAAAAATTAGTCAAGTTTTCATACGTGTAACTGAAAATGTTCTTTCATAAACGCTGTCAAATGTCGCAGGCATTGATGTAATAAATTTGTTTTTCGTTAATAGAAGACCCTATATATTAAAAGTAGATAAGATTAAGAGCTCATTTTTTTTCTCATTTCAAAAATACCTTACGGCCGAAGAAAAAACAGCAAAAACAGTCAGAAAAGTCTTCTCACAAGTTATTAAGAATTTAACACCCTGTAGTTACGAAACAAAATAGAATTGGACATATGTTGATAGGAAAAAGAAATCTTATTTTTACTTGAGGAATCTTCCCACGAGAGATGGCACATGGTTTTTGAAACACCCTGTATATGGAGGTCATTCAATGTTCTTAAAAGTTGTATTTGTTCCAATTCCAACGCGCTTCGTATTATGCAACACAAAGACTTTTATATCGTTGATTGAAAGAATTGGCAAGATACGCAACATAATGGGCGAATTCGTGACAAGGCTGATTTGATTACCCCTTACGTCTAAAGTGCTGTACGGTGGATCCACCACTTGCTTTTCGGCCAACGCACAAAACACTCATTTTCTCTAATTCGGCCAGCGAAGGCATATCGAAGACGGTGTGGAACTAACAGGCGATAGTGTTGCCATATTAAAACGTGTAATATCTGTAATACGTTTGTCGAAAATATCTTTGGATGAAAAATCCGCGTTTATGTATTGAACATTTATTCGTGTTAAACATAGAATAAATAATCGAAATAAAAATTCTTTTATAGGTACTGAATATGTCGTATGATCGAAAAAAGTCGTTTAGTTGGCTTGTAAATGACGATTATTGACATTTACCATAATATTTTACATATTAAATAACAGCAATCTTCAGTTCCAAGCCAACTCTGACGCCGTTCTTTATTTAATCATATAATATTATATTAAATTGTTTAATGATAGAAAATCCGTATTATTAACGTACTGTACCCAAAATCCATAATCTACGGATTAATCCGGAGTTCTGGCAACACTTTCTGGGCATTTTTAAATGCCCATGTATTAAAGCATTTTTTACCAAAAATCACTATTTTTCAATATTTGATCAAGAATTTCTATTATTGTCAATTATTGTATTCCGGTGATTTTTATTTTTAGGGAACTATATTTTCGGTCAATTTTCTTTTCGGGTAGTTCTCCTTCGCTTCTTTGTTTTTGGACAATTTTCCTGCATCCGTTTTAATGACGATATTTTGTTAGAATATTTTGTTATTTATAATTTTTATTCCAGAATTTAAAATTTAAAATTACGTACTAGACTTTAACGTAACGGACTATTAACTGCGAAGGACCTATTACTGCGTTTTCAAGCTTCCTTATGTGGCGTACACAGTGTTGCACACTATTTGAAACAATCTCCGCGTACGCGAATGTCAGTAATAATTGTATTCGTCGTCCAAAGAGCATCGTTTTCATTACATTGTGGACGTGGAACGCGGCAAGCTTAAAACGGGGTCTGCGCGTATTGTAGTCGTGCTCTTAATTATATAAATTCCGCAGATTTAATGGAAATGATGCGGTGAATTATATTACTACAACTAAATGCAACGAGTGCCATGTTTGTACATAATAATATCTGCGCATAGAAATGCTTTATTAAAAGTGTGACTAAATTTAATATAATAAAATCTCACCAAAAACAGAATGTAAAAAAAATTGTGAGGCACTATGTACAGGGTGTCCCACTAAGAATAGCTCTCGGCTGTATCTCGGAAAGTATTAGCAGTAGGGCTTACGGAAAAAAAATATTTATAACTAAAGGGGCTATGAGAAATTGCTGGAAATTATTTTTAAGTTTGAAAAATGGCCGCTAGCAACTGAATAAGAAAATAAAAAAATATATTTTTTACGGAATTTGGCCTCGATAATG